ACTTGGAGAGCCTCCCTCCAGAGCTTTTGGTGGATCACATCTCTCAATTCCAGCATGTTCTGGGCAGAACCAGGCTCTCCATACTGGGTGATATTCTCTTGCATTCGTTACTGGAACTCCGCTTCCATGGCAACCAGCTCCTGGAACACTTCTTCAGTATCACCTGACACTGGCTCCTGGTGGTGGTTTGGACTGTCTGTAGGGAAGAAGCAAATCCCACTGCTTGCCACCAAATGTCAGGGAATGCCTGTCACCTCAGTAGGGTGTTTCTGAAAGAGAACTGCTGACTTGCTGACTTGCTGCCAAGGTATGGCTGGGCATTGCACCCAAGAACTAGATGGCAATAGCTCAGGTGCAAATGGAACTGTTTATTAAACAGAAATACTGGTTTTTTATACTCTTCAGAAATAGGGGCAGTTCTCACATGAACAATAAAACAAATATTACACTTTGGGATAAACATCCCACACGGATTAGGCAAGAGCTTTATCACATTATCCTAAAACAATGTAAACGGTAAACAGTACAGCCAACAGCTAACAGTGATCTAATAAACAGAAAGATAATCAACAACCAGGCATTCAGAAATGCTTTGATTAATCAGGGAGCCCATCCCAGACGGCAACCAGCCCAAATACACAAAGTCCATTACACATGCTATCAGGTCTTTGCTTTCACTTGTATAATCTGTCCATCATTAAAAAAAACTCATATGATATTCCAACAATTTGAAAAAAGTGGAATTAATTTATCTTCATAGATTTCTTGAGGGAGATTGATGATAAATTGAGGGAGATTGATGATAAATTGAGGGATTGATGATAAATATTTCTGTCTCCAACCCAGTCGGCAAGAGGGCCACTATATTTCCTCTGTCCATTAACCTGTAAAATATTAATGTTACACCTTCCTGTCCACTTCAGAAGGGACAGGGACAGGGTCTTTATGCAGCAAATCAATCCAAGGCTCACTCTCAGCGTTCATCACATTATTATCCATAATCACAGACTGATCTGCTCTCTCCATGTGATCAGTGGCTGAACCAAGCTCTTTTCCATGCTCTGACCGAGAATAGCACACAAAATCCTCAATCTCCCCCATGGGCCATAATCAGTGAGTAGAAGGCTAGCCACTAGTCCCCTCCAAAAGCCCCAGCTGGGTCTTTCACACATGTGGCTAATCATCAGTATGCAGAAGGATGTTCTGCATACCCCATATTTGCAACCTGTATGAATATGCAAGATAGCGTTGTGTTATTAGACAATAACTTACTGCTAAGGTGTAAAGTAAGAAAAAATACTTTGAAAAACATTCATGCTGTGTGTTGAATGAACCTGTATTTTTTTTCATTTTGATTTTAATGATGACTTTGGTTTTTTTATTTCGCTCTGTCTGTTCCTATCACATACAGTACATGTGTTCATCTGGTACCGAACCTGAATTTATTGACCTAGTTGATTTGTTAAATACTCCATTATGTTCACGTCTTGCATCTCAGCACACCACTTGCTGTACAGCAGTCTTTAGTTGGACTTAACCTCAGAATCAAAATCCCCAGGGCTACTTTGCAGCTCAATTTCATCTATTTTTACCTTTAGAGGTTTTAGCGAAAACTTGGTACACCTTAGACTCCCTGGGGTTTATTTACTAAAGCTGGAGAGTCCAAAATCAGACTCCCTTCTGCATAGAAACCAATGAGCTTCCAGGTTTCATTGCCAAAGCTTCATTGAACAAGCTGAGGTTAGAAGCTGATTGGTTTCTATGCAGAAGGGAGTCTGATTTTGGACTCTCCAGATTTAGTAAATAAACCCCCCTGTGTCCAACACACAGCCCATTGGCCACATGTGGACCAACAGCCATCAGTGTTTGGCCCACTTAGTTTTTGACACCAGGAAGGATCAGGCAGCAGCAATGTATGATACAACCACTGTATTCCAGTGTCAGAGCAGAAAAAAATAGTTCCAAACAGTATGCCAATGTGCTAAGTTCAATCTTTACAAGCACACTGGTTTGAAATGCCAGCTGCATCACATATATGGGGTTCATATTTGATATGCAACAGAGACTGGCAATTTATGTCAGTCAAGGTCCCTGTTGTGGGAGAAGTCAGTCTCCTGTACAGCCCTGGTCACATGGGCTATCAGGGGGTAATCTGCTGTGTAGGGCTGAGACTAATAGCTGATGTAGGAAGCCCTAAACAGCTTGTCACCATCCTGCTAATGAGATAGAAGCGCTAAAGAACTGAAGACATTTAAAAGAACCTAACATCCCATAGCATGTAGGTTTACTTAAAATTAGTATGATTTGCAATGGAATTACAAATTCAAAATAATTTGATTTACAATTAAGACGTATTCACACCACATGTACTGGGTGGCATTGATCACCGTACCTTGTTCTCTATTTTGTCAGTTCACTGCATTGGTGCATGCTGAATAAAAAAGGAAGTAGGCAGCTCACATTTTATAAAAGCAAAGTAATGTGTCTCTTTAAAAAGACCACAAAGAAGATATAATTGAGCTACACATCCTATTGTGTGGCCCTATGGACATTTCAGGGTCCACAATTGAGGTTTTTAGTATTCCACAAGTTGTTGAATAGACAGTGCTCTCAGGGGATCCTACACCTTCTTAGAGACTTTGATATGACTGTTATCTACCTCCATGTCTACTTGCCAGAGATCTTCTGCTTCACAGTGTCGAGTCTCCACATACTGGTGTTTTTTGGGATACCACATCACTGCATTCTCTTTCTCTGATCCAGTGCTTGGAATTGTATGCACATTTACTTTATATGGCTCCATTCACACCTGTGTAATTTGTTGCAAGTTTGCTGAAATGGAACAACACGCGACAAGCCATTCCCCATTCTGTTTTATGGGGCCATTCACATTTTCACCTTTTCTGCTTGACCCAGAAGAGCTATTATCACTGATGACAGCAAGACATTTCCTCTATGACCTATCTGGCAATGCCTACAAAGATTGCACCAAGCATGAAAGGGTATGGCAGGACATTGCCCATGAAGTGTATGAGGATTGGGATAGTTAGTAGACCACAAAGAAAGAAAGCAAATGTAAGTTTATTCTGGACTTTAATGCATAGTCTAATGTATGTTAATAGAAAAAACACTTCTTCATGCATAAATTCTTGCTCCATTGTCACAATACAAGAACATCTTTTAAAAACTTGCCAATGGTAAAAGCCAAAAAGAAAGAAGCTTTAAATCACATGGAAAAGGCATTGCAACACATAACAAACATGCTGCAAAAACACACCAACAAAAAAAAGCACGAAGCAGCAGAAGCACAGATATGGACCTAAGTGTTGTAAACAATACACAGACTGTTTATTAAAAAATAATTTTAAAAATGTTTGGTTTTATGTTACTGTAAGCAAAGACTGAAAAGATTTTAGTATCAACAGAGCATACTACTAGGTTAAGATGAAAGGAAAGTGCCTCGAGCATAGAGCAAGAGATAATCTTTTTTAATTATATTACAATGTAAATGCATAGCTAACACTTACATTTGTTTAAAATTAAATCATTGCTCTCGAGAATGTTTTTATAGCTTTCTTGCCATAAATATGCTGCAGTTGAAAAGAAAACAGCAATAGGAAATAAGATCAAATGCAAGGTTTAGAGTTTTAATTGTCTACTACATATGTTCATTTTAACCTGTTGGGTTTACAATATGTTGTGAATAATGAAGAAATCTAAAACTATTGTAGCACCCTCCTAGTTAGGTGCTAGGATTTGTATACTTAGATTAAACATTGCTGTGTTTCTTTGCTTACCAGAGAGGCTGTCAGGTAAATTCAGTGTGGTATTCTGCTTAACAGAGTGCTGTGATTGATTAGTCAGGCCTGCTCATGATGCTCTGGTGCTGTTTGTGTTCTGTCACCTTCAGGAAGCTATGAGAGCCTCCTAAAACATGGGTAAGGGGCTAGGTAAATGAACAGCATGAAAATGGATACAGCCCAGTCCAACTGCAAGGGAAGTTAGTCCCATTGCATGCTGGGAATAGTATTTATGTTCTGAGAGCACATGGGTTCAGCGTCTTTCACGTGAGAGGATTGAACAGCCAGGCTGGAGGCAGGCTGCCTCATCTGGCACTTGCTGCCATGCGGTCTTATGTGAGTCGACCTGAGGGCCTGCAGTTAGAGAAAATGACCCTGGTTCTACAGTAAGCTGACCCCCCTTGGGTTTGTGAGTACAGACACTGAGAGACCTTGGGGGCTCTGTGTGCTTTGCTACCCCTCTGGTGCTTGATAGTTAGTGTGGGTCTGAGGAAAGGGAACACTGGCTAGTATTCTGAAGAGCTTGTCCAATTGTTGCTACTGCAAAAGACTTTGCTCAGCTATGTTACCTTTGGGCTGTTACAGTCTGTCGTAACTGGCTTGCACCTGAAGAGCTCAGACCTGTACCTAATACTACTTCGAAAAAGGGACTTTGCTCACTTCAAAACTACCTGTTGCTACATTTTAACCACCTCCCGCCCGCCATATAGTCCAATGACGGGTGCAAGGTGGTTCTCTTGTTCTGATAGGCCATCTTTTGACGTCCTTCCATTCTCACCGCACATGCGCGGCTCCGCAAGCTCGCACCGCAGCGATCTGCAGTGCACTGTGTCCCTCGGACACAGCGGATCACTGATCCACGGAAAGAGCCGAAGATGTTAGCTCGGTCATGTAATCAGCTGTGTCCAATCACAGCTGATCACATATAAACACGGAAATGCCGGTTATCGGCATTTCTCTCCTCTCGAGCTGTCACGCTGACAGCTCAAGAGGAGAGGAGAGCTGGTAATCGGCATTCCGCGGAGGGGACATGTACACTGATCATCAGGGCACTGGCACGTGGCACTGTTCAGCACTGACAGCTGGCACTGATGGACACTGACAGGTGGCACTTCTGGGGCCACACTGATCATCAGGGCACACTGATCATCAGTGCCCTGATCATCAGTGTGCCCTGATGATCAGTGTGGCCCCAGAAGTGCCACCTGTCAGTGTCCATCAGTGCCAGCTGTCAGTGCTGAACAGTGCCACATGCCAGTGCCACATCAATGCCACATATCAGTGCCCACCAGTGCACATCAATGCCACATATCAGTGCCCATCTGAGCTGCCCTTCAGTGTCACCCATCAGTGCCAGTCATTGCCACCTCTCAATGCCAGTCAGTGCCACCTATCAGTGCTGCCAATCAGTGCCACCTATCAGTGCCAGTCAGCCGCCTATCAGTGCGCATCAGTGCTGCCTATCAATGCCAGTCAGTACCGCCTATCAGTGCTAGTCAGTGCCACCTAACAGTGCCAGTTAGTGCCACCTATCAGTGCCAGTCAGTGCCACCTATCAGTGCCAGTCAGTGCCACCTAACAGTGCCAGTGAGTGCCACCTGTCAGTGCCGCCTATCAGTGCCAGTCAGTGCCGCCTATCAGGGCCAGTCAGTGCCGCCTATCAATGCTAGTCAGTGCCACCTAACAGTGCCAGTCAGTGCCGCCTATCAGTGCCATATATCAGTGCTGCCTTTCACTGCCCATCAGTGAAGGAGAAAAATCACTTATTTACAAAATTTTATAACAAAACAAAGATAAACATTTTTTTTTTCAAAATTTTCAGTGGTTTTTGGTTTGTTTAGGAAAAAATAAAAAACCCAGAGGTGATTAAATACCACCAAAATAAAGCTCTATCTGTCACAAAAAATGCTAAAAATTTCATATGGGTACAGTGTTGCATGACCGCGCAATTGTCATTCAAAGCGTGACAGCGCTGAGAGTTGGAAATTGGCCTGGGCAGGAAGGGGGTATAAGTGCCCTGTAGGCAAGCGGTTAAAGAGAAGTCTGCTATCTGCTGTTAGTCAGGACTTCTATATTGCTTAACTAGGAGATAAGCTAGATGCCCTCAATGTGAATACTTCTAATTTTGGAGTATCCTACTACAATTCCTCATCCCTATCCCCAGTTCCACAATAAAACTCCAAAAATAAACATCCCCTAGACTGGCCATTGAAGACAATGAGTGGAAATGTGTGTGTGTATTTGGCCAAAAAAATACATTGTGCCTGGCTGCGGGGTGAAGAAAGGGAAACCGGGGCAGACATACAAGCAAGCCTTGCGGGGGTAGCGCTACACTATATATCAGTAACACAAGGCAACACTTTTTTTTCTTTTTTGGATAGAGTGGAGAGGGATTATAACATCTATTCTGTTTTTATTGCTTTCTGTGTCCCCATTAGGGAGATTCATCCTCTCTATCATTCCTGCTTACCAATACCCCTGAAAGTAAAATCCCACATTTTGGGTTGTCTCCAAAAAAGTGATAGAGGAGAAATCTTCCAATGGGGGCATTAGTTCTAGTGACCTGGGGGTGGCTTAACGGGATTCCTTTGGTTTGCATGGATTTTCTCTCACGTCCATTTTTGGGGGTCAGGAAGTGAAATGTCCCCAATAGAGCACAGATGGAAAAAAAGAATATGACAGAAGTTTAGTCTAATTCAAAGTAAAAAATATGTTTTTGCTTATAGTTCTACTTTAAGGCATTTCTTTACTTGCATTTTATTTTGATCAAATTAAAAGTAATGTGCAATTACAACATGTAGCTAATCCAAATGTTCACACTTTGTTAGAAGTCACCAACTGTCTGCGCAGTCATTAGCTAAAGACCTCCAAACTTTGTGTGGCCTTCAGATTGGCACAACAACAGTGTGCAGAGGGGTTTATGGAATGGGTTTCCATCGCCGAGCAGCTGCTTCCAAGCTATACCTCACCAAGTGCAATGCAAAGCGTCGGATGCAGTGGTGTAAAGCACAATGCCACTGGACTTAGAGCAGTGGAGATGTGTTCTCTGAAGTAGAAAATCATGCTTCTCTGTCGGGCAATCCAATGGACATGTCTGGGTTTGGTGGTTGCCAGGAGAACGGTACTTGCCTGACTGCATTGTGCCAAGTGTAAAGTTTGATGGAAGGGGGATTATGGTGTGGGGTTGTTTTTCAGAGGTTGGACTTGGCCCCTTAGTTCCAGTGAAGGGAACTCTTAAGGCATCAGCCTACCAGGACATTTTTAACATTTTCATTCTCCCAATGTTGTGGGAACAGTTTGGGGATGCCCCTTCCTGTTCCAACATGACTGAGAACCAATGCACAAAGCAAGGTCCATAAAGACATGGATGAGTGAGTGTGGGGTGGAGAAACTTGACTGGCCTGCACAGAGTTCTGACCTCAACCCGATAGAACACCTTTGGGATGAATTAGAGTGGAGACCTAGAGCAAGGTCTTCTTGTTCGACATCAGTGCCTGACCTCACAAATGCGCTTGTGGAAAAATGGTCAAACATTCCCATAGACACACTCCTAAACCTTGTGGACAGCCTTCCCAGAAGAATTAAAACTGTTATAGCTGCAAAGGGTGGGCCAACTCAATACTGAACCCTACAGACTGAGACTGGGATGCCATTTAAGTTCATGTGTGTGTAAAGGCAGGCATCCCAATACTTTCGGCAATATAGTGTACCTAGTATCTGGAATCTGTAGCTAACATATCAATTTAATATTTTATATCCAATGTTAGATGGGATGTACATTATGAAGTCATAAATGATATGTAAGAGGCAGAAACCAGATATGGATGGATAAATAAATGTAGCTGAGCTGCAATCATTAGGCTTTATCACACTTTTATATTCATTAATTAGTGCTTATGTTGGCTTAACACATTAATAATATTTTGTGAGTAAATATAAGAAACTGCTAATTATTAACAATCATGCTTTATACTGTAGATATATAGATGCTGAAATTCCTACTGATTTGAGAAAAATTGGGGGCTCTCAGCAACCATATTATCAGTGTGTGTTGGAGCTGTTATGAAGCGCTGACAATTCTGAGTAGTAGGAGATAGGTTTTTGGGGTTTTTTTGGCATTTGTTTATGTCCCTAATGGCAGTATCCAGCTTCCCATGATGTTTCCTTGTCAATAGTTTGCTCATTATCCCTACAAATGTCTGGAATTACACTTTCTTGGCTTACTGGCTATATTACACAAGCAAAACTTTATATGTTAAGACCAGACAAACAGCAATTAATGGAGATGTAAGTCATGTCCTCAAATCAAGGACTTTTATGCTTACTGGTTCTACAGATATCTAGATACGTTTGTCAACTATTACATGTTCATAACACTTCACAAAAGTTTTCTTTTTTAACTCTTTATTTAACCAGGGCATTCGGATATACGTATTTTTACAGTCAATTATGTCCATCAACACCAACAAGATGTAAAACCAGTTACAGCCCTTTTACATAGACAGTTAAATCAGTGAGGACAATTGCCTTGGCATACTGTATATCACTTAAAAAATAAGCCTCCTGTTACAATAATAAGTATTAAATAGCACATATTTTCATGTTAAATAGAGTTATAAGCCTTCAGAAACCATATCATTATGCTCTGCTGAAAGGTTTTATAGTGGTAATGACAGAGGCCATCCATCCCAGGGACATTTCCTGTTGACATACTTTCAATGACCTTTGATAGTTCCACTTCAGCTAAAGGATCCTCCACGGAATCCCTTGCTTGAGGTGATAATTTGGGTAACCCTGATTTTGTAAGATATTGATCTATAATATCCTCGTTTTAAATAACATTGTGATTCTGGTAAATTATATAAGGAGCTGTAGAATTCTGTGAAACATTCAGCTATGGTATCCGACTTCGTATATTTAGAGCCTTGAGCAGTGACGATTTGAGGTATGAACGTCCGAGTCATGGTATTGCTAATGGATCTTGCTAATAACCTACCTGATTTATTGCCAAACTTATAGAACCGATGGCAAAAAAACATAATGATTGTTTGCCAATGATTGTTTATATGTACAGTCCAGTGACTGTATTTGGACAATTAAGGTAAAAAGTGTATCTAGGCTCGCTTGCATCTGGTCCCAGTATTTATTACTGAGCCTCTAATACTGCACTTATGAGCTTCCCAGATGTACATAAGCGAAACCTGGCAAGTCAAGTTAATCCAAAAAAAGAGAAAAGTTCTGTTTCCCACATGGCTCACACCCTCCCATCCTGAAAAGGAACCCATCAGTGCCATGGTTTCTGTAAGTTTTCACCTTCCATAATAGTAATTGTTATTGGAGAGTGGTCTTAAAGGATCATAGGTTATATAGTGGTCAATATAACTGCCTCTAGAGAAGCAACAAGTATAAAGAAATAGTCAGTTCTGGAATATGTCCAGTGTATTAGGAGTAAAATGTGTAATTCCTAGCCTCATTGTATTGATATCACCATGCATCAATCAGTTTTTCCTCATAGAGACAGATCTTAAACATCTGGGAAATGAATATACAAGGTGTGAGACTTGCCACGAGACATCCAGAAGAGGGTTCAAGGCTGCATTAAAGTCACCTCCCTGAATCACAAACTCTTCAGAAAATTTTGACAGATCAGTTAGACATGAGTTTAAGAATTTACATTGAGATGTATCAGGAAGGCACACACTTGCAAAGGTACAGGCCCGCCAACAAATTTTACTTTTCAGAAATAGATATAAGCCTTGAGAATCCACCTTCTGATCTTCATAAGTCCATTGCATAGATCTGGAAAAAAATTATGAACACAACAAAGGATTTTGAATTAGTAGAATAACTGTGATATGATTGAAGAAATCTAGAGTCTCCTGCAGGGGCGGACTGACAACTCATGGGGCCCCCCGGGCAATATAGGGGATCATGGGGCCCGTGTCCTTGCCCAAACTCAAAAAAAGCCTATGAAAAAGGTACAAGGGGCATTTCATGGGGCCCCCTACTGACCCCGGGCCCTCGGGCGGCGCACGAGTTTCCAAATGGTCAGTCCGCCCCTGGTCTCCTGGTCTCAGGGGCTTAGAATTATTAAAGTTGGTTTCCTGAAGGAATAAAATCTGTGCCCTCATTCTCCAAAGCTATTGTAAGAGCTGGGGCCTCTTTTCCTGGACATTGAGTTCCTTCACATTAAGAGATAGCAAACCGCCACATAGCACTAACAATCACTGTGATATGCATTTACAAATATCTATTGTTATGTCAGAATAAAGCTTTTTTGTATGCTTTGAATTGTTATGTGCAGGTGGGTGCAATTCCCTAATGTGCCCTGTGGTGGGAGCTCTGCCAGCGTTTCATGTAATGGTGCCGGAGTCGAACCCCCGAAATCAGGCAAGAAGGACATTGCTTGGTCCTGGTGATGGATAATTAAAAAGCACTGTTCAGAGGGGAGCAACTGTTTTATATAAGGCTCAAAAGGTAACAATAAACATACAGCCCTGACGAAAATTTTTGAGAATGACACAAATATTAATTTTCACAAAGTCTGCAGCTTCAGTGTTGTTAGATCTTTTTGAGAGATATTACTATGGTATACTGAAGTATAATTACAAGCATTTCATAAGTGTGAAAGGCTTTTATTGACAATTACGGTACATTAAGTTTATGCAAGGAGTCAATATTTGCAGTGTTGACCCTTCTTTTTCGAGACCACTGCAATTCACCCTGGCATGCTGTCAATCAACTTCTCGGCCACATCCTGACTGATGGTAGAAATTTATTGCA